ACAGTGATTCTCAAAGTCATAGGAGGGTCCGTTTAGCCAAAACACAGTTGAAGAAAGTACAGTTTCTCTCTGTGTGCTTGAGTCAGACTGGGTTCACAACCCAGTGACCACTGGCCCCCACTTTGAGATGTTGTGTGCCACAGGTACACAGACAGGCAGGGTGAGAAATACGACTGCAATCAGGACGTCCTCAAGGGAGAGAGTCCGATGGGCTGAGACCAAGCCTTAGACCCGCACGGCCGGAACTAAGTTCCCCCACCCCATGCAGGTTCCCACGAGGACTTTCCACCCGTTACTCTCCCTGTCCTCACCCCTTCCGCTTGCTGGACAGGAAGAGGCGGGCCCTACCAGGATGAATGGTCCCGCCCCCTGACGCTCTGGGGGACCAACCTGCCCTGAAAACACGTGTCCCTTCCTGCTCTGGGGCCTTCCCACCAGCTTCCTGGAATTTCCTGACCTTCTAGTCCAAAAACGTTATGAAATGGTTCCATCACTTCTACCCATAATCTTACTTACCCATCCCCCCGCTGCCGGCCCTCCCCACACACCCACCTACACACACACACACACACACACACACACACACGACAGTCTTGGCTGAGCCCGGACTAATGCCCAGCAGGCAGTGCCCGCACGAAGACTGTGCCTTTAGGGAAGCTTGCTGCAGGAGGCAGCTGCCCCTGAGAGCGGGGGAGGAACAGGGCCGCTGCTTCCCCTGGCCACATCGGCCCAGTGACCCCAAACAGAGGGTGCATTTCACCCTCCAGGCAGAGTGAGCACAGATTGATCTGGAGACACAAAGCCACACTGCACATAACTGGGGGGGACTGTATCTATTTAGCATATGGTGGCTCACCCCCAAGTCCGCCATGCTCTTAGGGCTGCGGGCTGCTGATGGACAGCAGGGTGCCAGGAATCCTGCATCTTCAACCCCTTTCTTATCGTGTGCACAGAGAGGGCATCTAATCCTCCTGAAGACCCTGAATTGTATAGAACTGAAAGCACCTCAAGAGGCAGATGCCACTAAACATCTGACGGGCCGTCCCCGCCCACACCTGAGCACAGTGGCGAGAGTTCTGATGTCTGTGGAGCGCCCGGCCCTTCAGCGTTCTCTGTGGGGTCCTGAACTCGTCATCCAGGCACTGCCCTGTCAGACACGGCACCGAAAGCGTTCTCTGTGCTCCCACGTCCTCATTCTCCTAAGCTATGAATAGGGCCAGGGGCAGGACCCAGAATCTGCTCCCTGAGCCTCTGGGCCACATGGGCACTGAGCTATCAGTAGCAGCTCTCGGGCCATTTGTTCAAGCAGTCACGGCCTTGCCTTGTCTCAGAACAGCCCCTTCAGAATAAAATATGCAGCTGGTTAGGAGCGGGCAAGTGTCTCTGGAACTTGAAAAACTCCTATTTCACTTTTTTCCCCATCAAGTCCTTATATTTAACATGCTTCCTGCATACATTAATAAATCAGCATGTTCTGGCACAGATCACAATCAAAGGAAAGGACGGGTTGTTTTGACAGAATGACATTTTGTCAAAAATTTTATGAGAAATCGAATGAAACTATTTTACCTTATAAATTAATTTATAATAGAGTTATAAATTAGAAGAGACGTGTGCAGATACACGTCTGCCTAGCTGTTCCTAGATAGAATTACACTGGGCTGCTTTTTAAATAGAACCAGAAAGATTATGCAGATCCCATTTAAAAGTCAGCAATAGACATTACATTCTCAGCATAAATGTTTTCAGATTGGTCAGATTAAGACCATCAGACTTATGCAGAGATGTTCTTCCAGTGGGAAAGACAGCAGAAGCCTACAGACATCCATGATGATGAGTCCCGGCTACACTTCTGGGCAATGTGCATTTTGATTAGCCAGAGGATTTTAGAAAATACTAGGGGAGAGGCAGTATATTGTCGGTGTGTAGGCAGACTTCTAAGATGACCTCCAAAATCCCCATCCTCTGGAACACATGCCCTCCAAAATCCTTTCGACGAGTGGAAGTAGGACCTGGGGTGATAATGGGGTAGTATGCTTAGGTTACATTCTGTAAGAAAAGGAATGCTTCAGATGGAAGCATCAGTTGAGGCAGATTGTCCTGGGTGGGCCTGGCCTAATCAGGTGCGTGCTTAAAGGACGTCAGAGCAATCCAGCGAGACTCTCCCACTGGCCTTGGGGCGATAATGGGGTAGTATGTTTAGGTCACATTCTGAAGAAAAGGAATGCTTCAGATGGAAATAAGGTCCCCCATCAGTTGAGGCAGATTGTCCTGGGTGGGCCTGGCCTAATCAGGTGCGTG